GCGCAGATGAAAGAAAGACCAAAGGGATTTACAGATACATTATCAGAATTCATAGGAGTTAAGCAAGGTAGCTAAATATAAAAATCATACCCAAAAATCTTTTTTTCTGTATTGTAACAACAGTTAGAAAATTAAATCTTCTTCAAGAACCATTTACAGTAGTGTGAAAATATAGCAAATACCTAAGAATAAATCTAAAAATGTTTAGCACATATTAAGAAGAAAATTAGAAGAGTTTATTGAGAGACATATAAGGAGAACTATTCCATGAGTGTGGATTGGAAGACTCAGTATCACAGAGACTTCAGTTCTCCCCAGTCTGTATGGGATACATTGGGAGCCATGAATAGACAAAACATGAAAAGGAAACAGTGAAGGAATCGTAATTAGATGGTAAGGCTTCCAGGTCTCTAGGAACTCAGGCTGCACAGTGCTGACAGAAGGGAGAGCCGACCTGCACAGACACACCTCTACGACATAGGGAACAGTGGAAGCAGTGGGGGAGATGGTCACATCTAAAAATGGCATGTGAATTTTCTCTTTAAAAAACAAAATGATACTGCCGAGTTTTTGTTTTCTTAGTAGGAGAAACTTGTCATCTGCTAAGTTTCCTATTATGGGACATAGAGCCAAGCAGAATTTAGTACATATTAATGAAGGATCCTAAATTTGCTCCAGATTGCTAGTACTTGAATTCAACTTTGTTCCCACTCATTTTGTACTAAGAATAAGAATATTCGAAAGACAAGACGGCTCCATAGCTAAGGACTGACTCTTACCTTTGGAGAGTTTGCTCGTTTGTTTCTGTTTTGCATAAGGGCTCACGACCTGCACGGACCCTCATGGGACCCTGAGAGCAGTATGCTTGGCCTGTGTCATGGGGTGGCCTCAGTGTTTGCAAGTTGGGCCACTTTTTGCTTAGTGAACATTCTGTGAGTGACCAGGAAGTGGTTCCCACCCTCGTGTGCTTGCACCTTTGGAGGCATCTTTTGAGTTATCACTCTCTAGGCTGTTAGTTTTTCAGCTCTATGTCATTGTTCCATTGGGGCAACATTTGTTTGGAAGAAGCCATGATCTGTATACCAAAAAGTCCTGGTTCTGCTGTCTTTCTGCAGCTGCCATGCTGAAAGTTGGTCATTTTTTTGTGTCTTGAAGCGTTTCTTTTAATCATCGAGATGTGCCATGTGGACTGGCCTTTTTTAAAAATCATTTTCCTACCTACAGACTTCACATGATGCCTCTCAGCACACAGTGACAATTTGGTGATTTAGCCTTATCACATCATATTCTATGGTTTGGTGGCCAAATGTATATGTCACAACTCTCAGTCCCTTCTGTAATTGAGACACACATTGCTAGCAACATCTGTGAAATTGGCTAAGATATTATTAGTCATTTGGGGCTCATTTATAAAGCCTACACTGGCTTCTCACTGCCTAGAAGTGGTCTCCAAACTCTTGTTCACACCTGCACAGCAATAAAACAGTCTCAAGCACATACCTCCACTGTGTATAAATTTGTGTCTTAAATATTAATATGTCTTGTCCTTTGTAGAAGAAGAAAAATATAAGTAGACACTCTGCTGTTTTCTTCCTACATCCTAGTGGTTCATCTTGAGTAACCCCAGGGGTTCATCCCCAACTCTAAAGATCGTGATCAGTGGAACAGGTCCACTTCCTTTGTAACTCTGGTGCCATGCAATGTAAAAATGCCACCCTCTCCCACTCTCAGGACCAGGGACATGTATAAAGCTAGAAATGGGGTGCTCCCATCCTACTTTAAAGGTAACCTTTGTTAAGCATCTTATCACTGATTAATAATAGGCTTCCCTTTAGTAAATAAGTTTTTAAAAGAATAATACATTCTTATCTCCACCTTCTTTCAGTTATGGGTGCCCTGTCCTCCACTTCTCTCCCCCTACAGGTTTTGCATGAGTATGTTCATACATTTTGCTCCTGGTATTAATTAAGAATTTATCTTGGCCGGGCGCGGTGGCTCACGCCTGTAATCCTAGCACTCTGGGAGGCCGAGGCGGGCGGATTGCTCAAGGTCAGGAGTTCAAAACCAGCCTGAGCGAGACCTCGTCTCTACCATAAAAATAGAAAGAAATTAATTGGCCAACTAATATATATAATATAAAAATCAGCCGGGCATGGTGGCTTGTGCCTGTAGTCCCAGCTACTCGGGAGGCTGAGGCAGGAGGATCACTTGAGCCCAGGAGTTTGAGGTTGCTGTGAGCTAAGCTGATGCCACGGCACTCACTCTAGCCTAGGCAAGAAAGCGAGACTCTGTCTCAAAAAAAAAAAAAAAAAAAAAAAAGAATTTATCTTGAGGCCAGGTGCAGTGGCTCATGCCTGTAATCCTAACACTTTGGGAAGCCATGGTGGTAGGATTGCAGTGTCTGTGTCCTTACCTCCAGATGAGTGTAACAGTACCAGCTTGATAGTGCCGTTAGGAGAATTCAGTGAGGACATGTTCTTAAAGGATTTAACCAGCCACTTCTTAGAAGCCAAGCTGTGAGTAGGTCCTGAATTAGGGGTTTCAGGGTGGTTCTTAGTCTCTGTAATGTCAAGAGTGTGAGAATGCCAAACAGTTCCAAATATACAGGCTATGACTGCAAATAAGAGCCTCATTTAAGGTAATCCTTGCAAATTAGAGTATGAACAAAGGTGTAGAATTGATGAGAATTGAAGGCAAGCAAGGAGGTAATTCAGAAAATTAACCTTTTCATTGGAAAAGGCTGGGTATTTGAACGTTAAGAGTCCCGAACATTTGTAATGAGGATTGCTCATCTCAAATGATTGAATAGTCACTGAGTACTCAGAGTGTTTAGTAATCAAATTTTTGCTCTCATGGTCTTGTAAGTATCCTATAAGCAGTAAACTCACTCCCATAACTCTGCTTGTGTGCTGCTTATCTCTGCATGCAGTGTAAGAAATCGAGAAACCATAGTATCCCACGAAATGGGTCAATTCAGATAGCAATGTCTGTCTGTATGCCTGCTACTTGCAAGGCTTGATGCTGGGCCTTAGGGGACACAGAGAACTAAAAGATATAATCACGTGGTAGCTTTTCTCCAAAAGCATCTAGTTGAAGGAGTAAGAAACACTAAGCAGATAGCTAACTGTTTACAGCAATGGGAAGTGCCAGATGACTTGGTCAGAGTGAGGAATCTTGTCTAACTAGGAAGTCAGGAGAGGCCTTGTAGAACAAACCTAAGCAGGAAGTTGACAATTAGTAGGGCTAGGAAAGGACTAGAGGAGCAGGGAGACAGCAGGAGCAGAAGGAAAGGAAAACCAGGGGCCAGCTGGCCACTCGCTGGAGTGAGGCTGGTGGGGGCAGCAGGTCTCGGGACCCCTAACACTCCTAAAAATTACATAGGATCCCAGAGAGCTTCTGTTTATGTGAGTATAGCTATAGATATTGACCATATTTGAACTTAAGGCACAGAAAATTTTTAAGCGTATGTTTATTAAATTCATTAGAATTTACATGTTACATGTTAAGAGAAATAACAGATTTTTATGAAAATAGCCATATTTTCTAAAACTAAATAATTTTGCAAGAAGAGTGCCATTATTTTGTGTTTTTACAGATCTGTGTAATGTCCAGCTTAATAAGAGATCATTGAACTCTCTTGTGTGCTTTGCATTCGGTCTGTTGCCATATGGTGCTGTAGTTGAAATGTAGGAAGACATGGTTGGGAAAGGGAGGAGTATTTTAACAGTCTTTCAGACAGTTGTGGACATTTGCTTTGCTATTTCTCCAAAACTTAACAATTTCTTAAAGGAATGTGCAATGTGGACTCTGAAACCCTATCAGTGAGAGCTTTCTGTACATTTTATTCCATGAAAATCCAGTAGTCCACCTTGCACTTTGAATGGCTCTTTTGCAGTTGAATGGTTTTGTAACACCATTTGTCAATCATTTGGAAAATACTGGCTCACTGAGTTTTGCAAATCTCCTAAGACATTTTGCAAATCTTCAGCACATTTCAGTATTATCAATAAATCCCATTCATTAACATCACCACTGATCTCATCTTCAGCCGAGAAAGCTGTCAAGTTCATACAGGCAGATAAAGGTTTTCCAAACTTCCTGGAATATTGGATAGTCATACAGAGCTTTGAGTTCAGTCTCGTCACTTGCTACCCTGCTATGATTATCTAAATCTATTTCTTTATTTCTGTTGTTATTATAAAGACTAAATGGGGGTGGGAGAGTCTTGATATTTATGAAGTTTTTAGGATGATATCTGGCCCGGGTAAGCACTCACTGAATAATAGTTATTGTTATTATTGCTATTTCTAAACTCCTATCATCATTAACATCATTAGTCATCATATGCAATATGCGTTGACTATAAATAAGAAAGGAAGGAAATGTGCTTGGTGGAACACTGACATGGTGACTCTTTTTGAATGTTTGCAAGGAACAGTTAGTTTTCACGATCTTCAGACTAATGCCAGTTGCTCAGTGCTTATCAGCTGACCAGAGTGGACGACCCCTGTGCCCTTTCCCCGTTGTAAGTCTAGAGCCAAAAGGCAGGATTCTTCCCTCTGGTCTTTTTTACCTTGGCCTGCACCTACCTTCTGCAGTTATCACATGGTGCAAATGTGCCCATATATCCTTAACCCCAGCCTGGGGCCTCATTGTCTAGCTCTTGTTCCATTGCCCGACACAGTGCCTGGTATGTGATTGTTGGTGCTCAATACTTGTTAGAGGGAATTTATTTTGAACAGTACTTGCAATATGGTTTGAAAGAGTTAAAAAGCTTAGAAACTTCATCATATTAAACATATGATCCAAGCAGCAGCTAGCTATTTTTTTTCTTTTCATTTTCTTCAAGTAATGTTTAACCTCTATTCACCCAACCCCATCTCTTTTTTCTTGAATCTCTATTAATTCAAAATAAAAATAGAATAAAGCTTAAAAGTATTTCATGGTAACTTTGGATTAAGCATTTTTGTAATCAATATACTTTGCTTCCTGCTTTTCAGATGTTCCTCCTGCTGATCAAGAGAAGCTTTTTATCCAGAAGTTACGTCAGTGTTGTGTCCTCTTTGACTTTGTTTCTGATCCACTAAGTGACCTAAAGTGGAAGGAAGTAAAACGAGCTGCTTTAAGTGAAATGGTAGAATATATCACCCATAATCGGAATGTGATCACAGAGCCTATTTACCCAGAAGTAGTCCATATGGTAAGTCATTACAGTTGTTTGTTTGTTTTGTTTTGTTTTGTTTCTGTGACAGGGTCTTGATCTTTTTGACCAGGCTGCAGTGCAGTAGTGCAGTCGTAGCTCACTGCAACCTCAAACTCCTAGGCTCCAGTGATCCTCTCACCTTGGCCTCCCTCGTGCTGGGATTACAGGCATGTACCACCACACCCATCCTTTAGTGATTACAGTTTAACTAACATGTTCCAACACTGATTTACAAACAGGTCTCTGATATTCTTGGGACAAGCTGAGACAGCTGAGCCTAACGTAACACTACCCAGGATAAACATCCTTCTGTTCCAAAATCTGTGCTTGTACCCTGAAGAATAAAAGTTTACTTTGTAATCACCTGGATTATAATGATGGATAATATAAGTAAGGGAACTCAGTTGCCATCTGGGGACCAGTCTAAGTGCTTTACATTTATCAACTCATTTAATCCTCACAAATTACCCTACATGGTAAAAATGTTAAAACTTGTATTTATTTTATCCTCTTTAAGCTTCTTTTTGTAACATATTAAACATTAATATAATAGTGCCCTTATACAGTTTAGAAGTAAACATTTTGTTCCTATGTGTTCAGGAAAATTCTAAGGATGGGGTGGAGTTAAAATATTGATGGGACCAAGCTGATGTCAGAACAGTCCATGCTAATTGGCTGGAGTGGCCTCCGTCTGTCAGTGCTGGTGTCAGGACAGGATGTCCTGATTGGCTGAGACAGTCTGTCATCCTGCATTTTGTTTTATTCAGCCCTGAAATATCAGCCCTCTGAAGTCTCATACTTTACAGCCTATTCCCAGGTCATTGGCAGCTGTTATTACTGTATCTCATCGTGACCCCAGTCAGTACCACCTGGAAACATTTCATGCAATGCTGTTTCCAAAACTCTTACTGTTTGACACTGAACTCTAGTTTTCTGTTGAGTTTTTTTGAATTGTTGATATTTTATCTGTCTTTGAAAGTAGTACACTTCACTTATTTGGGGAGTCATTGTTTAATGTAACATTTTAAATCCTGATTTTCATTGAACTCTTTCTTAAGTTACTGATTTTTTTTCCAAAGCTATGTGTTTCAGAATTGACTAAACTTGTTGACATAAGATACTTTATTTCTTACTTTAGTATGTTTGCTTTGGAAAAAGAAGATGACAGTAATGTTCTTTTTTGTAGTTCAGTTCCCTGTTTCAGAAGTTGAAATCAATTTGATTGTTTTAATTTATTGTTGTTAACCCTTAAAGACTGTAATTTATCTGTGTGGCTACTGTGACGGCGAGGGCCACGTGGGTTAATCTCCCCAGACTTGTGTCTGGATAGTTACAGGTGCTAACTGAGCAGAAAATAAATACCCTAAAACCTTAGCCATTCAGACTAAGGGTACATGGGTAATCTTTTCTCCTTTCCTTAATTTCAAGTCTCAATTACTTTGGAAGGCCACCCCAGGCCCAGAATCATAAAGAAAAATCTCTAATATATTCTAGTACTTTCATAATTTTGTTCTTCACATTACATTTTATAATCCTCTTGAAACCTTTTTTTTTCCTGGTATAGGTTGGGACTAGAACTTCATTTTTTTTAAATTGTTTTCTAAAATCGTTGAAAAATGTTTTGTCCCTACATGATGTATTGAATTCCATTCCCCCCTTGATTTAAAATGCTTCTTATTATGTGTTAATTTTATTTTCTCTTTAAGTTAAATTTTTATTTCTTAGTATATATTAAATTTATAAGTATATAAATTTATTATATATTAAATTTACATGTATGGAAATCTTTATTTTTAAGGAATCTTGGCTGCCAGCAGTCTCTGATTCCCACTCTTTAACCTGAGAGGGCAGAGCCTGCAGAGAACGAAGAAGCTTCAGTTGGCCTGGTTTGGGTCAAATGCCCACCCTTGAACCAACTGCTCGACTCATCTCATTGTATTTCACTGTGGCAGTGTGCATCACCGCACCACTTAGGGTACTTAAAAGCCCTTGAGACTATTTTTTTAGGTTAAATAAGCATTGCTTCTCCTCTCTGTTATAATTGTTTCCTAACTAGACTCTCCTTCTGCTGTCTTAACTTTGCTTCCCATTCCTGAACATCAGGCCAGCCCTAAGAGTGTTGCCCAGAGCGCTCTCAAGCATTTAACAGATACTTACTGAGCATCCACTACGGGCCAGGCACTTTTTTAGGTGAGGAAATAAGAATAGTGAACAAGATTTCTCACTTCTAGAGCTTTCATTTTCATGTGGGAGACAAGCATAAAATTAACCAACCAATAACACATCATTTTAGCTTATGGTAATACTGTAAAGAAAAGTAATCCAGGCTAAGTAGATAGAGTTGCAAGACTGTGCGCATGTGGGCAGGAAAAAGGTGCAGAGAGAAAACTTCTGTGTGATGAATTAGGTTGTCCCATGAAAATAAGTGCCCATGAGATGCTTTTCTGTAGTCACTGAGAGAGCAAAGGACAGTCACTCTCTCCTTTCTGCTCTGATTTGAGATAAGTGCAGAAGAGAACACAGCCTTTCCCTGTCTCTTATTTGTCTGGAGCTTCGGGGGTAGAATTGAGGGCAGGAACAGATTGGAATTTTTGTTTTATTTGTGTTTTGTTTTAGAGTCAGAGGGCATTGATGAAAGGTATAAAAAAAGAAGAAAGGGAGTATGTGGTGGCAGCGGTACTTGGCCATGGTTTGTGACCCTCTCAGATGTAGAATGTTAGGGAAATCAGGCAACCAGTAGAGGACCTCTGTGCCAAGCAGTGCCTGGACCCGGTGTGATAGGCAGAAAAGCCCTGGGCCTCGTTCCATTCTGGTGAGAAGCTCTGTAGCTCCGAGCCCCCAGTAGGCTCACCCACTTAAGCAGCAGTTGGCCGTCCTGCTTGAAGTATTGCCTGCTCTTTTGTTTGTTTCCTTGGGGGGAGGGGGAGGGTTATGTGTAATTTGGCCATAGTATTCTTAGAGACATTAATTTACATTTATTGTGAAGAATTCAAAGCTCTACAGATGTTGTACTCCTCCTGCCGCTACTTTTAAGTATCTTGCCTGTTTGACTCGACTGCTATATGGTTTTTTAACAGATTTCTTGAGATATTACCACATACCTTACAATTCACCTATTTGAAATGTATAATTAAATGGTTTTTAATATGAATATAGGATTGTGCAACCATTATCACATCTAATTTTAGAACACTTTCATACTCCTTTAAGACAATGTCACTGTCATTCTTCCCTACATCCTTACCCTTGCCCCACACCCCTCCCCCAAAACCCTAAGCAACCACTGATATACTTTATGTCTCTATAGATTTGCCTATTCTGGAGATTTCCTATAAATGGAATTATATAATATGTAGTCTTCTGCATCTGGCTTCTTTGACTTAGCATAATGTTTTCAAGGTTCGTCCATGATGTAGCCTGTATCAGTATTTCATTGTTTTTTATATGCCACATTTTACTTATCCATTCATCTATTGATAGACATTGGGTTATTTCCATTTTTTGGGCTGTTAAGAATAATGCTGCTGTGAACATTCACATACAAGTGTCTGTGTAGACAGACATATGTTTTCATTTCTCTGAAGTATATATACAGGAGTGGAGTTGCTGGGTCAAATGGTAATTTTAACATTTTGAAGAAGTGCCAGGCCGTTTTCAAGTGGATGTACCATCCACCTTACATTCCTATCAGCTGTTTATGGAGGTTCTAATTTCTTCATGTTTTCAACACTTGTTATTGTTTGTCATTTTTATTATAGCCATTCTAGCAGGTGTGAAGTGTATCTCACTGTGGTTTTGATTTGCATTTCCCTGACAACTAATTATGTTGAGCATCTTTTCACATGTGCTGTTTATTTTTACACATCATAGACTTTAGACCTAGAATTTAACAGAACCTTACAGATCATCTAGCCTGATCCTTTTCTTTTCTAGATTAAAAATAATGCTTCAGAGAAAAGAAGGTAAAAAGGAGCAATACCCAGGGGGGATAATTCTTGGCATTTAGTTTCTCAGGCCTAAATTACATAAAATCTTTCAGACATATTTTAAATACAACCAGCCAACTTTTTAAAATTATCCAGTTAGTCTGCTTCTCAGGCATGGACATTTTTCTAATAGAATAGTGATAGCAAAATCAGCCAACTGGCTGGGCACGGTGGCTCACGCCTGTAATCCTAGCACTCTGGGAGGCTGAGGCAGGAGGATTGCTTGAGGTCAGAAGTTCAAGACCAGCCTCAGCAAGAGTGAGACCCCGTCTCTACTAAAACTAGAAAGAAATTAGCCAGACAACTAAAAACAGAAAAAATTAGCCAGGCGTGGTGGCACACGCCTATAGTCCCAGCTACTCGGGAGACTGAGGCTAGAGGATCACTTGAGCCCAGGAGTTTGAGGTTGTGTGAGCTAGGCTGATGCCACGGCACTCTAGTCCAGGTGATAGAGAAAGACTCTGTCTGAAAAAAAAAAAAAAAAAAAAAATCAACTGTTAAGAAATTCAGCTGCCTCCTAAGAAATTCAAAATAGTAAAAGTAAAACTTGGCCAGGTGCAGTGGCTCACACCTGTAAATCTAGCACTCTGGGAGGCCAAGGCAGGAGGATTGCTTGAGACGAGGAGTTCATGGACCAACCTGAGCAAGAACGAGATGCTGTCTCTACAAAAAATAGCAAAATTCATCGGGCATGGTAGCACACACCTGTAATCCGAGCTACTCAATAGGTTGAGGTAGGAGGATTGCTTGAGCCCAGGAATGTGAGGTCACAGTGAGCTATGAGATGATGCCACTGCACTCTAGCTCAGGTGACAGACCATTTCTCATAAAAGTGGGAGGGGGGGAGAAGAACTGCTTTGTTAACAGTCTTTAAGGAATTAAGTTTTGGGGTCAGACCCTTTCAAAATCTGAAATGAACATATGTACCAATTTTTACATATGATTTCATAGGATTCACGTCCCTTGGAGCCCATAAGAGTAGACCCCTAAATTAAGAACTATAGATTCTCT